GAGGAGGCCACAGAGATGATCTGAGGGCTGGAGCAGCTCTGCTGTGGAGACAGGCTGAGAGAGTTGGGGTTGTTCAGCCTGGAGAAGAGAAGGTTCCGGGGAGTCTTTATTGTGGCCTTTTGATATATAAAGGGGGCTTATAGGAAAGACAGAGAAAGACTTCTACCAGGGCCTGTAGTGACAGGACTGGGCAACAGTTTTAAACTGAAAGAGGGCAGGTTTAGACTGGATGTAAGGAAGAAGTGTTTTATGAGGGTGCTGAGGCCCTGGCAGAGGTTCCCCAGAGAAGCTGTGGCTGCCCCTGGCTCCCTGGCAGTGGTCAAGGCCAGGTTGGATGGGGCTTTGGGCAACCTGGGCTAGTGGAGGGTGTCCCTGCCCATGGCAGGGGGTTTTTGGATTAGATGACCTCAAAAGATCCCTTCCAACCCAAACCATTCCATAATTCCATGATTCCCATGGCTCTGCAGCTAGAATTGGTACCTAAAGCCATGAACTGAAGTCCTCCTTTGCAGTTGTGAGTTTCTCTTTTTTTTTTTCAACAAGCTGGAAACTGCATCAAGCAATCTGTGAGAGCAGCTGGGCATTTGCAGCTCTCCTGCATTGGGCCTTAGCCCTGTGGGAGAACCCAGTTACCTTGTGCTAGTCAACCAGAGGGAGGATGAAGATGTTTCAGGCTGTGTTTGCTTTTCCTTCCAGGCCCTGGGACCCTGATCTGCCCGACGACGTGGAAGAGATGAAGCCTATACTTCATATGTGGGTGGCTCTCTTCTACAGCAAACCCAGCAAACTCCTGAGCAGCACGAGGAAGGTGGTGGAGCACAGCAACCCCGAGAAGTACGTCTCAATAAACAGCACTGGGGACTTTCTTGAGCTGAGTGATGATGGTGAGGACTTTTTTGGGTTGGAGACGTGCCCTGCAGATTCTAGGTCAGACCCTGACCAGACTCCCAGCAGCTCTCTGGATCGCAGCACACATTACCGGGGACCTCTCCGCCCAGAGAAGAACTCTGCCGACTCTCAGACTGATGCTGATGGCACTCCTGGTGTTGTCGATAGTACGGTATCGTCTTCTTCAGGGGAGCTGCCCTGTGAGGAGGAGGAGCCTTCCTCCACAAGCTGTCCCGAGAGCCTTCCCCTTGCTGAACATGCTGATGAGAGCCTGGCTGTGAAGGACAGGCAGCTGGCAGTCATTCCTGACGAGCGTGTCCGTGACGTCTCGACCATCCCTGCGGTAAGAGCTAGGGGTTTAGGCAACACAGGGGACACGATGCATTTTGCACTTAGAGGAGTAGGGTCTTCTGAGAGGAGTGGAGCAGACATGCTTCTGGGCTCTCTTAGAGCCAGGTAGTGGGGGTCCCCAGAGCAGCACAGGGAAATGTCCCCTAGCATTTAGCTGCCCCAAGTGACTGCCACACAGACATGCTCAGAGTCACCATAAAAAAGAAGCTTTCAGGCCTCAGTCCGGGTTTGGATGTTCTCTTGGACTGAGCTGGCATCTCTGGGCTGTGGCACGAGCCTATCTATCGGGAGCAGGGCCTCAACATGGATGCTTTCCGAGGGGGAGGAATCCCAAAGAACTAGAGCAATTAAAGTGTTGAGCTTGGCCTCCGTTCGTGGTTTCAGCTGCAAGCTGTGTGAGCTCAGACAAAGTCTCAGTCCTGCGCTTAACTGCGGGAGGAGAGGAACCACAAACTCCCCAGACAAGAATTCAAAAGCTTGCCTGTCTCCTGTGGGCAACTGGATTTGCCTGCCCATGGTCACAGCAGCCCAGACGTGTCAGGGGACACGGCACGGCCTTTCCTCCGCTGGTTTGGGAGAGCTGAGGTTTCCTGGCTCAGAGGTTTCCCCCCTAGAGATGGCAGTGCAGTGCTTTGCAAAATTTCCCTCGCCCGTCTGGTGAAGTTAGTTAATATTCCATTCTGGGGTAGGGTTTTTTAAATTATTTTTTACGGTTTCTACAGTCTGCAGATGGTCAGGAGTGGAGGTACTTGGGTAAATATAAAACATGGATGTCTGCCGATGTTTTTCAAGCCTGAATTCTTGAACCAAAATAATTCCTTTAAAACTTATCTCTGAACGAATGGGCAGCTGCCATAGGGCTGCAGCTGTTTTGCATGAAGGAATAAATATCCCAGTGGTTTTCACCACCTGGGTTTAGTGGTGTGAAGCGGGCAGAAGTGTTTTGGGAGGAAATGTGGACTTATTTTAGAGACAAGCTCAAACTAATCTCCCCAGTCGCTGTTGGGATGGTTGTACTCACGAAGTTTGAGCATTTAAAATACCCATGTTCTCCCACACGAGCGTCTCAGCTCCTGCATTTGCCTCCTTTGAAATTTAACCTCTGAATTGTGTTGTTTCAGGAGGAGCCGCCCAAGGAGGGACTGCCAGACCCTACGATTGCCCCCAGCCCTTCCGATGAGCTCGGCGATGCCGGCAAGCCCCCAGCTGCGCTGAGCGGGGACAACCTATGCAGCCAAGCCCTGAATTCCAGCACAGCTCCCTGGAGCGATGCACCGAGTGCGCTGTGTGGACGTGGAGAGCAGCAAGAGAACGGGTGGGCAGCAGCGTCAGGGAGCGGCCCCGGCCCTCCCAAGGACAGGGAGAGCGTGGGAGACACTGAGCACTGCACGGAGCTTGAGGATGGCAGCTGGGCCACCAGAGACAGATGGCAACGTGCCTGTGATTCGATGCTCTTAGAAGTGAGTCCCAAAAGCGCAAAGCCTGATGGAGCCAGTGGGAAAGGGAAGGAATCACAAAACCCCTACAGACGTTCAGAAAAAGAGGAGGAAGAGGTGAAGGAGGAAAAAAAAGAGAAGTATTCTGAATATGAAAGCACAGTCCTGAGGCCTGTTAATTTAGCGTTTTCTGAAAGCGATGATGCCAACATGGAGCATGAACACAGCAAGCAGAAGCCAGTGAATTCAGCATGTCCAAAGGACTTTGGCGTTCCTGGAGAGGGCCCTGTGCCCAGCCCCACTGCTTTAACATCACCCTGCCCAGACAGATCAATGCTGGTGCTGTCAGAGGGGACTGAGACTGGCCTTCCAGGGCTTCCTGGTGAGATGGTACCGAGCCTGGACATGCTGCAAGAGCCCTGGGAGGCTCTGCTTCCCCCAGATGCAGAGATGAACGGTGTTGGTTTGGCACACGCAGACAGTCCGGAGGATGTGGGGTCGCCGCGTGACAGTGGGTTGATGCTGCCGTTACCGTCTGATCCAAGCCTTGTCTGCAGGGCACAGCCAGACGGCGTTGCAGGCAACATGGGACTTGCCGGAGAGACGCTTGGGGACAGCTTGGAGGGGAAAGACAAGGATCGTGCGCCCTCTGCAGAAACGTGGGCGCCTGCTCGGAGCAAAGCTGCTGGCAGAGCTGGCCTGGAGTCACCGTGCAGCCAGGGACTGTCACTAACCTTGTCCCCTGACTCCAGCTCTGTCTGCCTGACATCTCTTGATGGAGCAACAGATCCTGGGGCTGCTCCAGAGGACCAGGAGGCCGTGGCAAGCATCCAATCTCCATCACAGAGCGACCTGGGAGGGAGCAGCTGCTTTTCCCAAAGGTGCGGAGGCAACATTTATGCTGACCTCGCTTTGCTGAGCACTGGCGAATCAAATCAAGAAGGGAACAAGGTTTTGGTGGATGAACAGCGTAGCAGCCCTTCTGCCAACCAGACAGATGTGCTGGATGAATCCTTGGGAGCGGGTGATAGCCAGGGCTTTGCCTTCGTCTGTATGGCCTTAGCAGGTGACTCTGAAGCCGGGGAGAGTGATGATGTGTGCCTCGGTGCAGAGGAGTCCCCCAAGAGCGATGAAACGAACACGGGGACGGTGACCAACCCACCACAGGAGCCAGAGACCTCTCTTCATGACCTGCTGGAATCAGAGCCCTCCTCCTCGGTGAAAGATGGGGTGTCTGCCATGAAGGAGCACCCCAGGCAGCAGCAGAGCTCCTCAAACAGCCTGTCCCCACCTGCCTGCGGAGGCTCAGCTCCTGCTTCTCCCCCCCAGCAGATCCCTCTCCCCTGTGGCGGAGACGCAGACCCCCCCCACCATTTGTTAGAGCAAAGCAAGCGGGACCCAGTCCTGTGCCAACACGGGAAGTCCTGCGAGCAAGTGGGTGCCGCAGAGGTGAGTGTGGCTACCGAGAGCCCAGACGGTTCCTTAAAGCCCAGATGTGCAGAAGAGGTGAAAAAAGACACGGGTCTGTGCTATGCAGAGAGCTCCCCCGTGGATGTGCTTGTGCCAGGTGACCCGGGATCGATGCCTTCTTCTCCTCTGCATGGTCGCAAGGCAGGTCTGCACAGCACTGAGCCGGACTCAGTCCTTGGTGTGCACCCCAAGACGCTCTCTCCCGGCACGAGTCTGGCTCCAGATGCTGCCCGATGGTCCTGCTGCGTGGGCACCTGCCCCAGGTGTGCCAGCCCCAGGGATCAAGCAGTGGATGTGGTAGGGAGCCACGAGAAGGAACTTATGCTGCCCAAGGATTTGGAAGGAGGAAGCAGCATCCCTCTTGCCAGTCCTGTATCTTTTTCAGCAGGGGAGTTGCTCGTGCCACTGTGTGGGCTCCAGTCTGCGTGCAACCAGGGTGAGCGTGAGGCCGAGGGATCCGACGCTTTCGCTGATCTGCACCGTGCCAGCATGGAGGTGGGAGAGGGAGAAATCCCCGCTCTCCCCTTCCCGATGCTGCCGTTACGTGCACGCAGGGGAATCTCTGGAGAGAGCCTGGAGCTTAGTGACACTGAGGATATTTCAGACATGCTCCCGAGGGCAAAGCAGCTCCCCAGCAGAGACAGATGCATGGGCTTGACCTTTGAAGATCTGTTTGAGTCTTTCTCTAGCGACTCAGACCAGGAGTATTTTGGGGGGACAGCACAGTCCCTGCTCACAGCCAGGGGTTCCCATAGCACGAGATCCATGGTTGCTGCAGGCACAAGGACTAACTGCGACTCCTCTTCCACCAGCTCAGCGCACACGGAGGGGCGCAGCGAGGACTGGGGCTCCCTGGGTGTGGAGGGGGGCTGCTCGCAGGCTGACCTCAGTTGGCCGATCGGCCTGGGGGGAACTAGCAGCGGGCACGTTCCACCATACGTCAGTATTAGGGACAACCAGGGGATCGCCAAGGACTACCGGAACATCGTGGTCACCAAAAAGTGTCAGGAAAGAATGGGAAATTTGCGGCCTTTGAAGAGGCGCAGCCGCTGTGCACAGCAGTCTCACTTGTTACAGTCACTGAGGAGGACTTGGAGGGGTTTCGAGGAAATCACCCAGCACACTTTGAACATGGAGTGTCTCCGTTTCCATTATAAGCTAAAACAAATCCTAAGGAGCAGGAAACCATCCTTTTCTACCTCCAAAAGCATCTTTCCAAAAGACTTTTCTCCCCAGGCGATGTCTGAGACATCGCCTGTGCAAGAAGCTCCCGTCCCGCTCTCGCTGCAGAGCAGGAGCCCTTTGCAGGTGACAGTCCTGCCCTCCGACACATGGCCGAGCGGGCTCGGCTGGCACCAGCGAAGCAGGTGGCATGGGAACCCCTGTACCCCGTGGCAGCACACCCTCTGCGACGAGAGGAGCAGGGCCAGATCCCAAACCCCGAGCCAGCGCTTTGCGCCTCCCTTCCACCTCAGCAAGCTCAAATACATTGATAAGCTAAAGGACTCGCAGGGGGACATCGCCATCATCCTTGATGAGTACGCCGAGTTGAACAGGGTGATGCTGAGCCAGGCTGATGCAGAGAGCAAGGGCGGAGGGACAGACCCGGCGCACGGGGAGGCCGTGAGCGAGTGGACGTGCGCGTCCCTCCCCGGGAAGATGGCCGGCGTCGAGGAGATGATTGCAGACCTCTGCAGCACGCTGCGTTTCTGCCTGCACAGCGTGGCCGAGGAGGCCTGTGGCCGCCCTGGCATGTTCTACCTGGTGGTGACAGGCGAGGACCCTTTCTTTGCAAGAGTGAAGGTAACGATGGTCCTGCCAACGCGGATGGGGACGGGTGGCCCTGGGGTGACAGCTGAGGGCAGCAGCAGCAGGCACAGGGCAAGGTTGGTCAACCCAGCGCAAGTGACGTTGGTTCCCTTGAGCCAGGAGCCACCTCTGCCATTTCATCTCGGTTCCCACCGCCAGAAATTAGGATCACAGTATCATTTAGGTTGGAAAAGACCTTTAAGATCATTGAGTCCAACCTCACACTGCCCAGCCCACCACTAAACCACGTCCCTAAGCACCACATCTACACCTCTTTTAAACACCTCCAGGGTTGGTGTCTCAACCACTTCCCTGGGCAGCCTGTTCCAGTGCTTGACAACCCTTTTGGTGAAGAAATTTTTCCTGATATCCAATCTAAACCTCCCCGGCACAACTTGAGGCCATTTCCCTTTGTCCTATCACTTGAACATTCCCCAGGCCACAGCAGATCAGAGTTGATGCAGGAGCAGCCCAAACTCAAACCCCCCCCCCCAAGATGGCTTTTGCTTGAGCTCTCTTTAAAGCGTTGGAAACTCGGGGAGGGTGATTGCATGGAAGGATTTGCTGCTCCGAAATAGCAAGGAGGCCTGATTCATAGTACGGTGAAATGCTCGAGGGCGTTTTCTAAACCTGGACATGCAGTGACTTTGACAGACGGACACCGTAGGCTGCCCTTGACACCAGGGTGCCCTGGTTGGGGTGACAGTCTCGTTCCTCTCTCCTTGTCCCCAGGAACGTGTGTGCCGGGAGCATGGCACCGCTGCTGTAAAGATATGCTCCATGCAAACCTTCTCACACAATTTCTGTTTCAGACCTTGCTGAAGAAAGACGGCCGCGTGGAGATCGAACCTCTGAGCTTCTGCGAAGCAAAGCACTCGGACGCTGACAGGTTGCTTGTCGTCATCAGGAATGAGGACATTTTCTCACACATCCACAATGTAAGGCCCGAGTCCGTCCTTTGTTTCTACCAGCATCATTCCTGAATATCAGGATCCGCTTTAAAGATTTTAAATTTTACATTGTATGTCGCTGTAGATTTGTCAGTCTCTGCAGATGCACTGTTCTCTCCACAGTGCTTCATGAAGAGCTGTTAAAAACAAATATCTCAAAAAACATGAAGCCTGTCAGTTCTGCTTGTCTTCTGTCTCCGTTTGTGATCGCTGAATAACATCACTTGGAGTAGCCCAGCTCAAAGTAATCAGGCCAGGCTTATTTTCTGTAACAACGGAGCAGTTCAGCCAGGCTTTGGCTCGTGGGCTCCAGTGAATATTGCAGCAGACTGACGCTCCTCAGACTCCCTGTATTGCTGTCCACGGCTTTGCCGTTGGGCTGCGGAGACACGAGTGTTGGGGTGACGCAGACCGAGGATGGGGTGGGTCCTCCGGGTCTCCCAGGAGCGGGTGTGAGTTGCAGAGAAGTGCAAACGCTGTTGAAACGCAGCTGCGTTTCAAGCGTCTCTGTCTCGAGCAGGTCCCGTGCTTGCTGAAGCTAAAGCACTGTCCGAACGTGATGTTCGCCGGACTGGACAGCCCCGAAGATATAACAGGTCACACGTACCAGGAGCTGTTTCATACCGGTGGCTTCGTGGTGTCGGACGATGAGGTGTTGGAAACGGTAACGCTGGGTGAGTCTCGCTGCGGCCTCTCGCTTGGATGCAGACACACAGTGTCGGCTCCCGGCCTTGTCCTCTGGTTTGCCGACACCTTCCAAAAACTTGCCCTTGGCTTCCTCTGGCTCCTGCTTTAGCGAGGACAATTCTTTCCCTCTCTTTGACACCTCAGACCCCATCTGGATTGTGGGTCCAGGTCAGGGCTCCCCAAAGCGTCTTAAGTACAGTGACCAAGGTGGCCAGGGGCTGGAGCAGGGGTTGTACAAGGCCGTTGAGCCTGGAGAAGGGAGGGCAGAGCGGAGACCTTGCTCCTGTCTTCGGCTCCCTAGTAGGAAGGGGCAGAGAAAACGGAGCCACACTCCTCCTGGAAATGCGCAGTGATGGGACAAGAGGTGACGGGGACAAGTTGCTTTTATCCTATTAGATATTAAGAGGGAAAAAAATTGCACAGCAAACGTGTCCAAACACCAAGACAGGCTGTGAATCTTCATCCTTGGAGATATTCAAACCTCACGTAGACAAAGCCCTGAGCAACCTCAGGTGGCCCAACTTTGAGCAGGGGTTGGGCCAGAGACACCCAGGGACCCTTTCCACCCTTGGTTACCCTCTGGCTCTTGCTCTCTCCCCAGGCCAACTGAAAGAGGTGGTGAAGGTGCTGGAGAAGCTGAACAGAAGCGGGAGGTGGAAGTGGCTCCTTCACTACAAGGAGAGCAAGAAGCTCAGAGAAGACGCCAGGTAACAGCTCCGCGGTGGCAGCCCCTTCGTCCCTGCTGTCCTCATCACCGCAGCAAGGACGAACCCACCGTGGTGGAGGGCGGCGTCTTGTTCAGTGCGGGGACACAGGGCAAGTTTGGGGCCTCTGGTTGGGATTTGGCCTATTACAAGCTGAATTTGAAAATTTTTGTTTAAATAAGAACTTTTCTTATCAGTGAGAGACCTTGTGCCTCAAGTCTGGAATTGCCGGAGGTCAGCATTCGCGCGCTAGCAAGTAAAGTGCGATAGATTTTTTTTTTTTTTTTTGTGCTTATACGAGATGGAGCAGCAGGACATGGGACCTGGAGAGGATCAGATGGCCTGAAACGTTGCGTCTTGCACGTGATCCCGGATGAGGCAGAGCTCTGGCAGCTGCTTCGTGCACCCCGCTGTATCTCCATAAGGCCGTTCCCCCCCCCCTCTTTTTTGGCAGAGATGCCCTCTGTGAGCGTTGCAGCCTGCAAGGGGCTGGAGGAGAGGAACAGATTTCCTTTGAGGAGCTGCACGCTCTCTTCGCTGTTTCTGTTTCTGTCTCATCAACGTGTGAGATTTGGGGGAGTGACGAGGAGCTCTGAGTTTGTAATGTGGAGAGGAACCAGGGTGTCGGGGGGAGTGCGTAAAATCAAACCCTGCTGGGAAAAGCAGAAATTCTCCTGTCGGTATTTGCTACGTATTTTAAGTTATTTGCAACAGTGTGTATTTAAATGATGCAATTTGAAAAAGAAAAGACAACAAATATTGTCTATTGAAATGTCCTGCTTTTATTGTGTTTAAAGTCAGAGGGGAATGTTTTTATCAGGCAGGCTGCCTTTGTTAGCACCAGGACAGCTTTCTAGTAACGACCTGCCAACAGAGATGAAACTGGTCTTTTCTGTCTGAGCAGAAAACTCTACAACAAATGGGGAGAGGTCTCAAATCCTCTCCACGCTCAGCCGTTACAGTGATAGCACACAGTAATCCTTCTGAAGACCTGGTTCGTCAGTCCATGAGTGGTGAGATGTCACAGAAACTCAGGGTTGGGTATTTCATCGCAGTCTATGAGATGAGGACTCAACCTTGTGGAGCGGATGATGCTGAGGAGCGTTTACTTTGTGCTCCATCAATGGCACTCACATGGCATCACTTGACTCCTTTGTGGTGGGATAATGAGCCGCAGTCTGTTGGCGCTGCCTCGAGCAAGGGGTCATTTTGTTTTCCGGCTGCATGAAGTGACGCTCCTGCCGGCTCCATTTAGTGCGAGGTAGCAAGTGTAAAAGCAGCCGTGAGGCTGGAAGAAGCACACGTGGGGGAAAGGCAGGTCACAGATTCACAGAATCACAGAATCCCAGTCTGGTTGGGGTTGGCAGGGCCCTCTGGAGATCATCTCATCCAACCCCCTGCTAAAGCAGGATCACCCAGAGCAGGTCGCACAGGATCACGTCCAGGCGGGTTTGGAATCTCTCCAGAGAAGGAGACTCCACAACCTCTCTGGGCAGCCTGTCCCAGGGCTCGGTCACCCTCAGAGGGAAGAAGTTTTTCCTCTTATTGAGGTGGAACTTCCCGTGTTCCAGTTTGTGCCCGTTGCCCCTTGTCCTGTCGCTGGGCACCACTGAGAAGAGTCTGGCCCCATCCTGCTGACCCCCACCCTTTAGATATGGATGAGCATTGATCAGATCCCCTCTCAGCCTTCTCTTCTCCAGACTAACCAGCCCCAGCTCTCTCAGCCTTTCCTCATACCAGAGATGCTCCAGCCCCCTCCTCATCCTCGCAGCCCTCAGCTGGACTCTCCCCAGTAGTTCCCAGTCTGTCTGGAACTGGGGAGCCCAGCCCTGGACACAGAACTCCAGCTGTGGCCTCAGCAGGGCAGAGGGGGAGGAGAACCTCCCTTGACCTGCTGGCCACGCTGTTCTTGATGCACCCCAGGGTGCACCCCAGGGTGTATTAGGTCCCATCGTACCCGCTCGTTCCCTGGGAGGGTACACAGGGGTGAAACCCTTCGCCGCTTCACCTTGCCCCTCTCCTGGCAGGGTGGACGCCAACGCCCGCAAGAAGCACTTGATCCTCAAATCGTGTCAAGGCACCGATCTCATCGAGGTGCTGCACTACCACGCCTGCGACTTCGGGTCGGCCCCCAAAGCCGAGTACGTCAAGTGCTTGTTGAACCTGCAGGTTCAGCGCGTCAGCACCAGGTTCGCTGTGTATCTCACAGGTAAGGACGGGCTCCGGGCGCTGCCCTGCGCTGGTGCCCTCAACCCCCACAAACACGGGCTGAAATTGGCCTGGGAGGCTGTGGAGGAGGGACCCAGAAACGGTCCGTTTGCTCCCATTTCCGCTAGAATCACAGGTAGAGTGGCCAGTGATTCATTGTGAGTCAGTGCAGTAAAAGGCAAAATGAGCAGGGGTTTTTTTTGTTGTCGTTGTTGTTTGGTTGGGGTTTTTTTGAGAGGTCTGCTAAATTCTGGCAGTTTTTTGAGCCTGTGGATGGCTTTTACATCACACTCTAATTCTGGCCTTGCTGGGCTGAGGCGGTTTATTTGCAAAGCGGCACTGTTAATCTGCTCGCATTTGCAAAATGGAATAACTGCAGTGGGATTTGGGGATATTTTCTGTGGGTTTCAGAACAATTTCCTTCACTTGTTCGAATTACGGTGCCACTCCTTCCTTTGCAGAAAAGCCCAGCGGCAGCAGGGAGGCCCTTGAAAGCAAAGGAATCCTCGTAGCTGATGTCAAAACCTTCCTTGGGACTGTGGAGAAAGCGGCTGCTCCGTTTAGAAGAAGCTACTGGTAAGGGGAGGGAGCTTGGGATCGACCCCCCCTTCTCCTCCAAAAACGCCGAGAGCAGTTCCCGAGTTGGCTGCAGGGTGGCAAAGCTGTGCTTGGCCCTGCCGGCAACGGGAAACGGAACAGCGCTTCTCTTGGGGCAGCTCTGCGAGACGTCGGTGCTGCCGGAGCGAGGAGGGGAACGGAGCAGTAACCCGTGCCACGTCTCTGTGTTGCAGGTGACGAAGCGAAGCCACGGCACGGCTCCTCCCCGGGCCCCGCAGCACCGGTTTGGGGCATCCTGGTCCTCCGCGGGACGACCCCGGTGCCCAGTGGGAGCTGTGCGGGGAGAGGCGGCAGGGGAAGGGTGGTTCTAGTTCTGTATATAGAAATTATTTAAAGATGGTTAATGCAAATCCTCACAGGGATTTACTCCCTGCCACCAAGTTGCATATAGGACAGAGGTTACTTTAACATGATGCAGTTTTAAGTTATTGGAGTGTTTTCAGGTGATTAGTGCATTGGAAAAAAAAAAATAGGAAACTAAAAATAAAAAAACCAGCCGTTTACTTGAACGTTAGGAACGAGTCCACAATAATAAATGCATTTTTCCACATGGCTGTAGCTATACATACTGTACGCAAGACGCACACGTTAGCTGCTGGGGGTGACTGTAGGTTTTAAAAGCGGCGCAGG